CTGAATCTAACAAGGTTCTAAAGGTTGTAAAACAGCATGTAAGTTGGCTGCTCACTCCTAAAGGAATAGGTTATAGTTAATTGCATCAATACCACAAGGGCCTAAAGACAATTTATCCTGCCATTTTCTGGAGATTCCAGCTGAGCTGTCTTGCAATTTCTGTCATTTCAAGTACCGTGCTTGGATGTAATTACTATGCAATCAATTAAGCCATATTTCCAGTTACACTGCTAAAATTTGGCTCCTCTGGAAAATGCTACATTTTCTTGTGACTGAGGCTGATGCAGAACAGAAGTTTACACCAGCCCGGAAGTGGAGTTGGGGCAGAGCAACCACATGCCAGCCGCCCTAACTCTGCCCTGACACCGTGCACTCATCCGCACAGCGCACAGCATCAGGGCACCCTCTTGGCACAGCATGCACACACGCTGCACCAAAAGGGTGCAAAAGAGCCACAGTGGCGGTGGCTCTAATGGCAGCCTTTTGCCGCCCCAAAAGGTGCTGATTAGAGATAAGAAGTTTTCCCTGCTTCTTCACCATTGGAGGCTGTCAAAAAGCCTGAATGCAGCATAGAAGCACTGGCTGAGCCATTACTAGGGAGGAAGGGATGGTCTTCCTCTCCCAACAATGTACTTCCCCCACTTTTTGCAAAACCTTCCCTCCCTTAGTACAATCAGGCGAAAAATGTAGGTGAAAACGGAAAATCCAGAGAACCAGGCCATTATCCTTGCTCCACTGCTGTATACATGGTCTTAGCTTTAGGACTGGCTGTGATACCCAAAAACCTCCCCCCCTTTTTAAAAAAAGTACAATTTTCCCCCTGTTTGTTTGGATAAGGGAAAAGCTCTGCTGGCTGTCTTGTTGGAGCTGTCAGCCTGACGTTCTGTTCAAAGCACAGCACAGAGATATAAACCATTAGATGCATGTGGAGTAAAATAGAAATGACCTGCTTCTCAGCACAAATCCCGAGACTTGGCAAGAATGAAGGTGCTCAAAAGTGACTCCATTTCTCTCCTCTCCTTTCTTGCAGCAGCTACCTGTGGTGCTGGCCGCACAGCCTGATTAAATAGCTGATTAAGCTTTTTCACAATTTGGCCTCTTGATACTCAACCTGCTGAGAGCAATGCAGAGGGCCAAACGTTGCTTCCACTGGCTCCATTAACTGATATGACTCAAGACTTGGACACATAACAAGGGTGGAAAGATTCGTTGGCAACACCAATTATATGTAGTGCTCTCTCTGTTTGCTGCATCTGTGCACTTTGTTCCCTGGAGCAAGTACCTGTTCAAGAAAAGATGATTCTTCTAACATTTTAAAGGGAGTGCTTGTGCTCTATTGTTTATTTCTCTTAGCCTTATTTTACAGATGGGTTAGCAATACTTAAAAAGATATGCAAACACGCAGACACAAACACACTCATTCACACTACATAATTAACCGATTTTTGCGTTGGCTCACTTCGAATCGATGGAGCGATTCGACATCGAATAGATGTTCAGACTTTGCTTGCCGTGATCACACCTGCCCATTTCAATTTAACCCACTTCACGTTAACATTAACAATTGGATCAATTCAAAATAGATTCTCCATGTGATCACATCACAGGGATGATTGCGTCACAAGGAACCGAATCCAATTGGCAATGTGTTTGCACTTGCATTGAACCAAATCATTCAAAAAGATAAAGTAAATGCTGCGGATTCAGAAGAACCGATTTAACTGGGTTTGGTGCTCCCCCCCCCCCCCCGCAAACCATGCCTTAGAAATTTGGCACCAGTGTGAACAAAGGACGTTATCACACTGGGGTCTCAAAGCGGCAAGAAAGCGGCAAGAAAGTGGAATGGAATCAATCCAGAACCATACCGGAATGGACCCGGCAAGACGGAAATCGTTACCAGACGCAACTGGAATCATTGTGGAATTGACGATGCCGCGATGGTTCTGCTCCAGGGGCCTGTATCTGCTGATCACACACAAGTGGAAAGATCCCTTCCAGATTGCCTTAAAATATAGAGAGGACCATGTTTACCCATTCTGTTTGTTGCCTGATCCAAACAGGAAGTACACGTTATAAGATGCTTCCTCACAGATCCATGGGAAATAGCGCGAGGAACCATGGGCCATAACGAGGAAATGCTCCATGATACGCATCTCGTGATCATACATACGACGAAAGCAGCATCATTGCGGCATCATTCCGGCAGCGCGATGGTAATTCCTCAAGATACCCGGAATTCAAAAGAACTGGAATGATGCCGGAATGATGCAGGGATGATGCAGGGATGGGCGGGGTTATGTGCGACGTTGTGTGAACACACGGAAAAAAGAACCGGAATGGTGCAGGAATGATGCAGGATTCTTTCTGCTTTAGGGCCAGTGTGATAACGTCCAAAGGCCCTTTAAAGTGGTTTAACCTGGTTTATTATGTAGTGTGAATGAGGCCTAGGGTTGTCAGGTCAGAAGCATCCTGGACCCTAGGAGTTCACAAGCAAAACCCCAGGGATGAGGGACATTGCATGGTGTTCACAGAGGCAGAGTTTGGTGATGCCATTATGCATGATACATTAAGCATCAACCATAGTTGCTCTGAGTACTGCTCCCAGCAGAGACAAGTAGGATGATGACATACCTTCCTTTATATTGGGAGTGGGCAAATGTGGAAAGCTAGGGGTCACATT